TTGGATGCATCTTCTATTCCAAAAAAATATATAATACATCAGGATATCAGGTTTTATGGTAAACATAGCATTATATAACTCAACATATTCATCTCATTAGCTCATTTAATGACTAGCCGTCCAGGTCAGCAATGAAACCGGTAAAATATATGGTACATGGAGAAAAGGGCCGAAGAATTACTAAATTTTAGTTTAGGACTTATTCGTAAACTCGGGTAAAATAATTGGACTTTAATGAAATACGAAAGTAACGAAACCGGTAAACCGGGAAAAAGTGGTCAAATCGCCATTTTTACCGATAATTCATGCTTTTTCGTAAACAAATTTTAGTTTGGGACTCTTTTGTAAATTAGGATAAAATTTTAGGACTTTTCTATAGATTTCCCTATTGTGGCTTCCCAAGTTCTAGTGAAAAGCCATGAGATATGAAAAATAATCTGGTAGTTTATATAACATAATAAGTTTTACAGCGTGTACCTGAAATCTATACAGGAGAGTTTATGTAGTCATTGCACTTAGACTAATACCTCTAACCAATAAATATTGAAGTTAAGCTCCCTTGCTTAAGCATGTAGGATTTGAGCGAAAAGTGAGATGTATAAAAAAAAAGAGAAATTACCAAAAAGTTGTAAGAATTTTGGAGCTATCAAAGTATGAAGATCAAAGATTAGAATTCTGAATAATCAAAAATTGAAGATACCAAAAAATCAAATGTAAATGTGGTGAATTCAAAGAAATCAAAGAGTAAATATAAAAGAAATGAAGAATTCCAGGAGCTCCATTGTGGTATCAAAGTTGTAATTTTTCTAGATTATGTATGCTTGGGTAGCTTAACCAAAAATACATTGAGGTTAAGAAAGATTTTTGAGGATGGATTTGGAGGGTTGCAAAAATGAGTGTCGTATAAACTAAGGGGTGAAGGTTCATAAGGATTGTGAGTATTTAGGATTGAGAAGTTTTTACGAACCTTAGACACAAATATACGCATTGAGGTCTTGGTATAATGGCTGAGTTCAAAATATTATCTTATGTGATGTTGGTGATGAAAGTTTGATTTAAAATTAATTAGTTTTACTTGAGGGCGGGCAAAAGATAAGTGTGGGGTATTTTGATATTGCTATATTTATACACATTTTTTAGGCAATATCTTAATACATTTTAAATAATATTTTGGTTATTTGCAAATATATTTGGTACTTATTGAATAAAATTGTGTTTTGCAGCCAAATGGAACACTCTTGAAGAATATGGACCAGAATTGCCAAGGATTGGAACTTTGGAGGATTGAAGCTTTAGAGAAGAAAATTCCAGCGAAAAACCCAACTCACGACGTGGGAATGAACCTCATGATGTGAGGAGGGTATTCTAGAAGATTAGCATGCGGGAAGTCAGAATCCTTGCCCGATACAGTGATTACTGAGCTCACGACGTGAGACACCAATGCTCACGACGTGAGCCACGTCTTTTCCAAAACCATAAATATTCATTCACTCTTATGACTTTGAGAGCTTTTGGAAGGGAGGTATTCTGAGATAACCGATTTTGGAGGCCAGAGAAGTGCACATAACATTCATTGAAGGAGAATTTACATGGAGATTAAGAGACTGAAGAACACATCATCACATCGGTTTGATTACTTTAATCATGTTGATTTATGTTGAACTTATGTTTTCGTTTTCAACCATGAGTAGCTGAACTTAGTTGCTTTCGTTTAGCTAGATGATACTTTGACTTTATGGTTTAGTTATTTAATTTATGGATTTTAATAGTTGGTTTTGTGCATGTGTTTTATTATCATTACCTAGCATGTTAAAGTTGTGATTTTGTTGCTTAAATTCAAGTTAAGTGTATCTTAGTGACCATTAAATTACATGAACTTGATTACCTAGTGATTTAGTTACCATTAAATTACTAGAGCTAGGATCGACCAAATCTTAGATAAGTAATAAAAGAAACGAATTTAGCTGTGCTGGAGAACATAAATTGTGACCATAATTGTGTTTGTTTGGATAAATATTACATAGCCCGTCTATAATTAATAACTAATTATGTGTTTTGCTTGTGTATGACCATACAAGGTAGTTCATGAATTGGAGAAAATATCAGTAAATTTGGACTTGAATTGCTAATTACATAAAAATTGGTAACCAACTTTAATAATCCATAATTAGTAACTAACCACAGGGAAAAGGTGGATTCGAACTAAACGAAAGTGTTTTTAGTATATTGATTAAATCGTTAGTTAAGCGTTTAAGTTTGCCTGAACTTGAAAAATCAGATAAAAACCCCTTTTTAACTTTTGCTTGTTTTAGGTTAATTTTTAGTAATTATTTTAGTTAATTAAATTCGTTCCCTGAGTTCGACCCCAACTTACTTTACTATACTATAATCCGACTAGGTACATTGTCTATAGGTGCAATAGTAGATAAGTAATTAGGATATAAATTTAAAACTAGATAGGTATAGTCTGCACCACATCATGCTCCATGTTGCTCCAAGTGTTCAATGTTGCTTCAAGTGCTCTAAGTGCTCCAGGTTGCTCCAAGCCACTCCCAGTTGCTCCAAACCACTCCAAGTTGCTCCAAACCTCCTTTTGGAAGATCTGTTCCTTTATCACTTGTTCCATGAACCTCAAGTGCTCTATTAAGATCTAAGTGCTCCAAATGCTCCATGAGAATGTTCCAAATGCTCGAGTCACGTTTAATAAAGCCTCCTTGAATGCTTTAGCTCGTGCCCTCGTAACCGGTCGGCATAAATAACAACAAGACTCTCACCACATCTGTATTACCTAATTGATTAAGTTATTGAACATGTGGATAAAGGCCAACCACTCTCACCAAACATGAAAGCGGCACAAATGGGAACACACATTGCCTGATCGTTCCAAAACCAGAAATAGGGGGGAATAATCCCTGAACCGCAAACCGGTTACCAAGCAGAATACCTTCCTATCAAAGCAAATTTGATAGTTGTCAACCAGAAATAGAAGCTCTTGTAGGTCAACTGGATCAAAAGTAGTAGATTCATTGTACATAAGATAGTGACGGAGTAAAAGGTGACATTTCACACCCATCTGCATGTTCACATAATCACTAAAATATGATTGCCTAAACATGGCCCTACCAATTGTTCGGTTATTTAAACGAGCCATGATTTCGCGCCCAAGTTCAGGTCTGCAGGTTATAGTAACAACTGCTTCGTATGTTTTGTCGTGCTACAATCAAAAGAATAATTAATTAGACATTTATGTATGCATGTTTCGGAGGAAGTTACTGAATACATAATTTCAGACCAAAATTCTGGAACACAACTTCGGAGCAACAATCCGAAACATAACTTCGGAAGGTTCATCGTATTGCGGAGGAGTTCTTATTATTTTGAACATGTTTTTTGGATTCCAAACTTGTTCTTGACTAGTCAAAGTGAAGTTTTTTTTATAAGAATTTTTGATGTACCATACATATATTCCTACATATCATCATATAATTGTTTTTAAACCAATAAAATTCAAAGAAAAAATAATAATACCTATATAAATGCATAAATTATATAGGTTTTAACGTATAATCTAAAATAAATGCATTTAATTATAAGCATAATAAAAACTTACATATAAAAAAATATCTTATCACCGCTATCAGAAGACATTTTCAGTTTTAGTGGTGTCCGAAATGCTCTGTAGGGTAATCCAAAAATGGGTAAACCGAAATGAGAGATTTCGAAATGAAATCCGAAACGGGTTAAAATGATATTTATAGGGGGAACCACATTACCGAGTCAGATCCATTACCTATTCATCGACTACTCATTTTGCAAAAAAAAAAAGTTATTATTATTAAAATAATGTTAAAAAATGGTTAGTTTACTAAATTTCCTTATGATTTAAGACGTTTTACTTGTAACATTTACATATATGTACAACTTGAAGTATATTTTTGCACGACGTAAAAAATTTGGCAGCCGAAATACTCAGAATATCAAAACTATGAATAATTGCAACCGAACAATTAATATCTCATTTTAATCGTTAAAGTATATTTTATACATATACGAATAGATTGTTAAAGTTTGGTGTCCGTTGTTGTAAATATGGCCTAAACCTATTCCAAAAGCTGAAATGCGTTGATGTGGAATTATAAAATTGTCATTGTTATAAACATAACAATAATAAATATCGCATCTCTACTCATCTTAGAGTATGGGTTATATATATATTTTTTTGATCTTTCAATTATTCTGTGTCATCACTCATTTTCTCCATCTTTTACACAATCTTCCAAATCATGTTAAATCACAATCTTTCAAATCATGTTATACTATAGAATAAGTTACAAGTCATGATTCATCACAAAAAGTTTCCACGCTGATTTGGATTGTTTCTATCATGAGAAGCTATTGGTTGAGATGTGATATTTCATAAAATAGATCCAGATTCAAAAATAATACACTTAAATTATTGTTTGTCTTTATGATTACTCTCCACGTGAAGGGATTGACCTCACATTATATTATAGAATAAGGTACAAGTCATGATTCATCACAAGTAGTTTCTATATTAATTTGGATTGTTTTTATTATGAGAAGTTACTGGTTGAGATGTGATACTTCATAAAGTAGATCAAAATTCAAAAATAATACATTCAAAATATTGTTTGGCTTTACGATTACTCCTCACATGATGGGCTCGACCTAACAGAGGGATGTGATTCACCCTTTTTCAACCGGTTTGGACTTTGGGAGTTCGAAGATCCTAGTTTTGATAATTACATTGTGTAAAAATTCTCTTGTCCAATAGAATATTTGGTTATAATTAATGGATAAAGAACTATTTTAAGTCATAGGAAATATATTGTTATATTTTAATTTTTAGTAATTCAATGCTATTTAAAAATTTCACACCTTGTCATTTTATTTGTTAGGTTGTTAAAATTTAGATTTTGTCAAACAATCTATTAAGTCGAGTAGCGTCGGGTCGGGTCGGGTCGGGTCGGTCTATGACATATCCCTGCGGGCTGCGGATACGAGGGCTTACAGTTGCAGCCACGTTCTTCCCCTATCCAAACCTCACCGGAAAACACACTCGCTTTCCATGGCGGCATCTCTCTCATCTATCTCCGCCCTTCGCATCAAACTCCATAGACATTCCTTCAATCCCAGGATTATTTCCTCCTCCGCGTCTTCAAACCCCCAACAATTCTTCATTATTTCACCCCGTCTACCCCCAAAACGCCGTTTCATTAGGCCTTTCTCCCTCAAGTTATCAAGAAGTTTCTCAATTAACTCCATATTCAGTGATGATAAGAAGAACAGTAACCCAAGCTTTCACCATTTCCTCGCCCAAGCTCAAGCCACTGCTCTCACTGCTTTCGATGCTACTGAAGCCGAGTAAGTCAATATGGATTCCAATTTTTTCCCTTTCAATTTCGATTGGCGATATTTACTTGTAACACAGTGAATGAATTTTGAACAATTCCATATAATTACAACTCCCTACGTTCCTCCAAACAGCTATTATGATACTTTCGAGATCAAATTTTGATATGGATTTTCTTAGAAATCAAACACAGTTTTAGAATCCATATCAATTACGAAACTGAAAATTGAGATGTATGACATTCGTAGTCAAAGTGTAGCTTTCCTTTAGAACTCATATGCTTGTCTTCTACTCTTTCTAGTGATGTTCCATCCTCTGAAGTCCTTCCAAGAGGTCGCATCTATCAGGAAACCTACGGATGCCAAATGAACGTCAACGACATGGAAATCGTCTTATCCGTGATGAAAAAAGCCGGATATGATGAAATTGTAAACGAACCTGAAAGTGCAGAGATCATCTTCATCAACACTTGTGCTATCAGAGATAACGCAGAACAAAGAGTATGGCAAAGACTCAACTACTTCTGGTTCTTAAAACGCCATTGGAAAAGCAATGTAGCCACTGGTCGTTCACATTCTCTACACCCCCCAAAAGTAGTAGTCCTCGGATGCATGGCAGAAAGGTTAAAAGACAAGATTCTAGATTCAGACAAAATGGTTGATGTTGTTTGTGGACCAGATGCTTACAGGGACTTACCACGTTTACTAGAAGAAGTTGAAAATGGTCAAAAAGGTATCAACACTCTTCTCTCTTTAGAAGAAACCTATGCTGACATCAGCCCTGTTCGAATCTCCAAAGACTCCATCTCTGCTTTTGTTTCTGTAATGAGAGGTTGCAACAACATGTGTTCTTTCTGCATTGTGCCATTTACAAGAGGTAGAGAAAGGTCAAGACCTGTTGAATCCATAGTCAAAGAAGTTGCAGAGCTTCAAAAGGAAGGAGTGAAAGAGGTGACACTTCTAGGTCAAAATGTCAACAGTTACAATGATGAAAGTGATGAAGAAGAGATTGAACAAGGGGTAAATTGGAAATTAAGTGATGGATTTTCTAGTAAGTGTAAGGTGAAGAAAGTAGGGTTGAGATTTGCTGATCTTTTAGATAGGCTTTCAATGGAGTTTCCTGAGATGAGGTTTTAGGTACACTTCACCACACCCTAAAGATTTTCCAGATGAATTGTTATATATAATGAGGGATAGACATAATATCTGTAAAAATATTCATCTTCCTGCTCAATCTGGGAATAGTAATATGCTTGAAAGAATGAGAAGAGGGTATACAAGAGAAGCTTACTTAGAACTTGTGCACAAAATAAGGAGCATAATTCCTGATGTTGGGTTGACAAGTGATTTCATATGTGGTAAGAATCTTTAAACTTTTGTGTTTTCTGTTAATTCTCTTTGGTATTTTACTATTTTTGTGTTTTTCAAGGGTTAAAAGCAAGAATTAGCAATGTGTTTTCATTGATTTTGTTTATTATCGCATTGTACTTTCATTTCTTGAAAGAATATTTCTATTTCTTGAAGTACAATGCTGTAATACAAAAAATGATGCATAAATAAAGGGTTTTATGCAGAAAAGTCACATTATATTTTGGGAATTTTTTTGACGAGGGCCTAATTTATTTTTGAACAGAAAAGTCCCGATTATTTAATTTTACACGATAATCTGTCATTTCCTGTAAAAATAAAAATAAGGACTTTTTTCGTTAATTTGGGCAAAATATTAAATAATCGGGACTTTTCTGTTCAAATTTTTTTTTAGGACTTTATCAAAAAGAATCCCAACATAATGAGGACTTTTCTGTATAAAACCTCATAAATAAATGAAAGGATATTTTTATTTCTTGCATTTTGCCCTTTATTTTAGGATTAATATCATAAAAGACCTCATATATTGTTTTTTTTTTCTTGATTAAACCTCAACCTTTTATTTTTTTTCCAATAAAACCCTCATCCTCTTATTTTTTTCCGAAAAAACTCTCAACTTTTTATTCTTTTTTCTGAAAAAGCCCTCACATTTGACAAAACTTTTTCGTGAAAAACTGCTAAAAGGGCCAAATCGAAAAAATTTAAAAAAATGAACGATCTTTTTCAATAAAATAAATAAAGTTAAGGTTTAATCTGGAAAAAAACCCCAATATATTAACCCTTTATTTTATTCAATTATCTTGAAGTTGAGTGATTTTATTCTTCATGCGAAAAATCAAAAAAGTCGCATGTTGTAATAGAAAGAAATGATAATATTATGCTATAAATTATAATAATACACAAACAGATAAAACTCATTTCACCCTTTAATTTATGCTATTATCTTAAAGTTCTTTAATTTAATAATAAGAAATATAATTATTATGCTATAAATTATAAAACACAAATAAATGAAAGTACATTGCTATTTCTTGTAGGGTTCTGTGATGAGACAGAGGAAGAACACAATGACACTTTAACTCTAGTTAAGTCCGTGGGTTATGACATGGCATACATGTTTGCATATAGCATGAGAGAGAAAACTCATGCACATAGAAATTATTCCGATAATGTCCCTGAAGAAATCAAACAGAAAAGACTCACACAACTGATTGAAGCTTTTCGTGAAAGCACAGGTCAATGTTTTGACTCCCAAATTGGTAGTATTCAACTTGTGTTAGTTGAAGGACCAAATAAAAGAGCTCCCGAAACAGAGCTTATTGGGAAAAGTGATAGGGGCCATAGGGTAATTTTTGCAAACTTGGAGGTCCCGGATTGGGTGGAATGTGGTGGTGATAGGAATCCGAGAGTTGGGGATTTTGTAAAAGTTAGGGTTTTGAAATCTTCAAAGGCGTCTTTGTTTGGGGTTGCGATTGGGATTACTACAATGAGTGAGTTTTATAATGTGGGACAACAAGGTGTTGTTGTGTGTGGAAAAAGTAGTTGAAATTTGAGTTACTTTTAATCTTTTTTTATTTATTTAGAGACAAAGTATAAATATGTAAGAAATTATATGAACATGCTTTCTTATTTTGGTTAAAGAGGTGCATGTTTTCTTAAAGTAACCCACAATAGCCATATAGATGCTAGAAGTAGAATGTGAACCCTAGGCATGGGTAATAAAATTTAAGCAACCAACATAGATTGATTAGGACTGTGACTGAACAATTCTAATCAGTCTAGTCTTTTTTAGGACAACATAGACTGATTAGGACTGTGACTACACAGTCCTAATATAGTCTAGTCTTTTTGAGGACATGTTTAGATTGGTTTAGGACTTGTTTCTTGTTGGTATCATAGTCTTTACTTTCTTTCTTACAATCTCATCTTATGTTCGTATTTTCACTTAAGCCTCACACAGTGTAAGCATATGTTCGGGCCTCGACACTTAATTATGTTTTTGATACCAATTTGTAACACCCCATTTCTTATATCCATATTTAGTACAATGACAAGATATGGTAAAGCATGTTCTGGTTGCAACCAAGAACGATCAAAGCCAACCATGTACAATGTCAATAAAACTTTTAACATTTCTATCGAAATTTTAGCATGATCGATCTTTGGACAAACCTGATAAACCAATAAACAATAATCAACCCAAAAACAAGTGGGGTCAACTATTTTTAACAATACAAGTACAAGGGGTGGTACTATATCCACAGTTTAAGCATCTCTCTTCCTCCTCTCTCTCGCTTTCTTTTGAAGGGTGTTGCAAGTTGTGGTGTTTATTTATGTTTCTCCTTTAGTGTTTAATTGTGTTAAACACTTAAGGCTTAAGAAGTACTTCATACAATATGGATACTAGCATTTCAAAGTGTCTTATTCTTGATGGTGGATAAATTGTAGAAAATCTGTAATTTTGAGTTTTTTGTTATCTTCAACAACTCCCCAATTACAAACGGGATCAAAGGCTCCAAAAGTTGTCTTCTTAACATCCTATGTGTTGTTATTATATTTCTAGTTCATGTATTTGGATCTTCTTGGTAGTTTTGTTAAAATGGTTTAAAAACAAACTAGTTATTTTTAAAGTCACCCGTTTTTCGTTTATAAATTGTTTTATAAAAAAGATTGTTTTTAGCTTCCGAAAACTCATCATCTTGATACCATCGCCAAAGGACCATCCATTCTTGAGGTTCTTTTCAAAATAATAGATTCTTGTGCACGAAGATCATCAAAAAGATCAAATAAATAATCATTTTGATTGTTTCTAATTATCACCCGGACCATCAAGAAATTTCATACTGATTTCCAAGTTAGACTTGGTTTTCCTACCTTTGGACAACTTGGACATGATGATTTGAAAGCGTTTGAAACATGAGTGAAGTGGTTGGTTTTCAAAACAAGAAACGTTATTGAAATCATTTAGAGCCGAAGAGAGTTCTCATCCCTTTTGAAGAACACTCGCTCGTCATTTGTACAGTCTTTGTGGCAGAGGGTTACCTGGTCACTTAGATTTTTCTTATGATGGTTTGGTGGTTTTCAGATTTGTTGGTGGGCAATAGGTCACCTAACCACTAGTGTAATGTCGATGTCACAAGTTGTTTCAAGAAGGATGACTTGATCATGAATCTTGTGTGATAAAGTCACCTAACATTTTCATATGGTGCCAAGTAAAACTCATGCTTCAAAATACATGTCACAAAATAGTATGTAAGACAAAAACATCTCGTGCGATACATATATTTTAGACACAAGTAATGTAGAAAACATTAAAGTCATATCATTACTGAAAAGCATAGAATTTCCAATAAAGTTCAACAATAAAAAAACATTCACTTACAATATATGGCATGTTTACTTGATACACACACACACACACATATATATAGATATATATATATTATATAATATATATATATATTATATATATATATATATATATATATAAAGAGAGAGAGTTATGTTCAAATATTTCTCACATCTATTGTTGTGCTAGAATGCACCAATAAAAATTTAGTAAAAATTAAATTATTATTTAATCAAATAAAGATATATATATATATTATATATAGATATATACACCACACATATATATATATATATATATATAATATATATAGATATATAATAAAGAGAGAGAGCTATGTTCAAATGTTTCTCACATATATTGTTGTGCTAGAATGCACCAATAAAAATTTAGTAAAAATTAAATTATTATTTAATCAAATAAAGATACATATTAAATGATTTCCATAATTATATGTATATTAAATGATATCCATAATTATAATTCATTTTTTTATGGAAACTAATTAAATTCGTTATTAATATCAGCAATAATATTCTTTCAGAATAAATTCGTATCTAGGTTTTCATGTATGCGTTCGTATTTTGTTTCATGACTCACTCACTCAAAATATAACAAAGTTGTATTAAACATGGAGAACGAGAGTATATTCTAGCAGAATGAGAGTTTATTCTAGAAAAATAAAAGTATATATTCTAACAGAATGAAAGTGTATTCTAGTAGAATACACTCTCATTATTCATATTCCATGCAACTTTGTTGTATTTTAAATGAGTGGATCCATAAACAAAACATGAACACATACATAAAAACCTAGAAGCTAATTCATTCTGAAAAAATATTATTGCTGACATTAATGACGAATTTAATTAGTTTCAATAAAAAGAGAATTATAATTATGGATATTATTTAATATACATACAATTATGGAAATCATTTAATATGTATCTTTATTTAATTAAATAATTATTTAATTTCACAAAATTTTTATTAATGCATTTTAACACATAATAAATATAAGAAACACATGAACCTAGCCACACACACACACATATATATATATATATATATATATATATATATAATATATACATACTAGTTTATAACCCATGGAAACCACAGTTAAAAAATTAATTAAACTTTTACATTAAAACTCAAAATTATTAATCAATTATTTTAAATAAATTATTAATTAAGAGATTTTTTAGTTATATAAATTTTAATAGTTGATTTAAATAAATATGTTAAATTATATCAGTTTGTAATTTGTATTAATTTTATTTTAATTTTTATTCAAATGTTACTTTTTTAATGTAGTTAGAGTGAGAAAATTTAAAATTTGAAATTTGAAATGAATAATTAATAGGTTGACAAGTGACATCCATTAATTAGGAGACATAATAGGGTGACACATGACAAAAGGATAATAAAATATGCATTAATTAGGAGGCCTAAAAGGGTGACACAAATGAAAATAAAACTATTATTTTATTAGAATAGAAAGATATATATATATATATATATATATATTATATATATATATATATCCTTCCTAATAAATCAAAACTTTTTTGCCACATGTCATTCTCTCCTTCAATTGGACACATGACATTTTCTAATATTTTTAATTAAATGTTTTTCCATTTGTCATTTTCTCATTTTTTTTATCTTTTCTTAATTAACACATGATATTACACCTTAATTAATAATTGTCTTAATTGAAAATAGTCAATAAATTACAATATTACTACTCAATATTGTATTTAATATGTTTCCTTTTAAATTCAAATTTTAAATTTTAAATTACAAATTTTAAATTTCAAATTTAAATAAATTTTTGTTTAAACCTTTATATTTAATTTTTTGTTTTATCTAATCTGTATAGTATACGGGTCTCACAACTAGTAGTCTAATAAATGAAATTTTTTTTGGCACATGTTACACTCTTATTGATTTGGCAACTTGTTATTTTGTGGTTATTTTTAATTAATTTTTTTTTCAAATGACATTTTGTGGTTTTGTCCATTTTATTAAATTTCATATATTATTTAAATATAATAATTGCAATAAATGTAATAATAAATGTATTTATCAATTTTATTAATTGACTTTCCTTCTAATTTCAAAAATTTTAAATTAAAGCCTCATTAGTTTCTTTATTATTTATCTAAATTATTTGTTTAAATTTAAAAGAGAAAAAACACTTTACTTTTAGTAATTCAATATTTTTAAAATTTTTCTTATAAATTCAAAATTTTTAAATGTTTAAAATTTCATATTTATATATATATATATATATATATATATATAAGATATATATATATATATATATATATATATATATATATTCCATACCTGCCATAAGTAAAATATTTACTTGGTGCATATCTATTATATACATGCATTCACATACCTGCTATATATGACATATTTTTATATATTCACATTCACATGTTACAAGTAAATATTGATTACCATACATGTTAAATATTCATTAACATACCAAACTACTATATTAAATTACAAGTTCATTCATTTTTGTATGAAAATGCCAAACTACAATTTCATTACTAAATAGATCATGAGTCCATGCTTTAACTAACATAACAATATACAATGTCAGCGAATCTAGGATTCAAATTCACAGGTGTCCAACTTTAACTAGGTAACAAAATAAAAAAGTCGATTTTTTTACTGGGCCGGGTTATCAATAACAGCATCTAAGTATAATTATGAGATCCAGCATAATATTAAAAGTAATTGTAGATGTCTTACAGTTGCTCACAACGAGTTTTCATATTTCAAAAAGCAACCTAAAATATATCATTGTTAATAATATATTAAACATTTATTTTATATGTCTCACAGAAAAAATTATTTATTTTTTTGGACAAATCTTTCTTTTTATAAAGAACCTGGTTTATCTTTCTTTTTTTTAAAAAAAAAGCTTCTCATTATTCCTGGAATAAAAAATTATATTATAAACTCATAATCATCAATCTAGTCAATTTTTTTTTAAAAAAAGCAATATATACATTAGTTATAAAGCTAATGAATTAAAACTCTAACAACAAACAGATTGAAGAATGAAGATATTCTATATTACTATTCTAAAGAACAAAAAAAAAAAAAAAAAAAAAAAAAAAAAACTCTACTGAACGCAATTAAAATCTCTAGCAAAATTAACCAAGCAGCAAAATTGGATTTGAGTAAAACAGTAAAAGTGAATCCCATGTAACTAA